AAACTCCTTTATATTGCACGTACATGTAAAGATGTATTGTGTTCTATTAAGACTAAGAAATGACTAAAATGATAAATATTGCTATGTAAACCTTCAATCAAAATTTACCATTATAAATATAAAGCAATGGTATTTAAGGACACACAAAACATTTGAAAAAAGTACATAGTGAGCAACTAAGAGCAATACGAGGTTATATAACACATTTGCAACACCAATGAGGAACATTGCAAAAAGCCCTCAATAAAAGAAATAAGCAAAATATCAGCAATGTAAAATTAAAACATCCAGCGCTGTTGTTGTACATGTAATATCAGCAGCTGCTTTGAACTTCATTAGCTGAGAGAACATAAGTAAAACAACAGCGGTCAAATAATGAAAAGTGTCATACCTAAACAAATGGGTAACAGGGAGGGATCAGGGAAACGTAGCTTTTTTGAGAGCATCCGAGCAAAGGAATGAATGGAGAACCATGATCGCTGATGTCTGTCGCAGATCTGGCACTGGAAGATGATGATGATGATCATACCAGTACTACATTACAGTATAGTACCGATCATAAATTCAATTTTTTTTTTAAAGTCCTCAGATGGGGAAAGTATAGACTGGTAATAGATCTACTTGTTAACGCAACAGAACAATGATTTAACAATGTTATAGATGGGTTTATATAATAATATACTATATTTTGTCTAAATCAAAATGTCTGAGGTGCGATATTGTATCACAACAAAATCTTGGTATCTGGTTAATTATTGCCATCAAACAATTTCAGTTCAATGATATCACATCACAAATTTCCACTTTAAGAAGTAGTACTGAGCACAAATCATATGAAGTTGCAACCAATTTACTTAATTTTGGGGGCAGTAGGCTTCAATTGATCAAATGCAAGAATCTGGACATCACCAAAAATAACAGGAAAAGTGTTAACACCAAAGGGCCAATTAAATTAGACTTGCAAGAACCAAACAATTTAACACAAACCAGCCGGCCACAAGGCACCCAAAAATGTCAGGTGGCAACAGCATGACAGTCAAACTCCGTTATACTTATACTGCTTAACTTGGGTCGAGTATGGAGTTAGCAGTACAGCAGGGCTGGTGGTATGAAGGGATATCCCCAGTTGCCATATTGACCAGTGTTAGACTGGTAGAGACTAAAGATAAACTGCGGGCAGTCTTGCCTGATCTAGATCTGTCTTGTGTGATTGCTCCCGCAGGGGAAAAAATGAGTACATTGTAGTAACCAATTACAAGAACAGCTCCAGCTATACTTTAAGTAAATTCAAATTGAAAGAAGTTAGGCTATAATATGTGTCAAGGACCCTGTAGAAAAATACCTTAAAAAACCCCAATACTCTTCAGTCCTCGGGTTGCCTTAGACATGTCATGTAGACTTGGGCATGAGTGCATACAGCGATAAAACCTCACAAGCACCTATATCAGCCTTTTGGTCATCAGGCTGCTCCTGCGGGGCAAATTTATATTAATTTAATAAGAACCGTACAACTCAGACAGTTGGCGGATGGCGGTGTAAAGGCACAAATACTACATTTATAAAGGCATTCCTTTTCATAGATTGGAAAAGCCTGGTGGTAAGCGTGCTGGCAGTATAATGGGGGGGGGAGGTTATAATGAGGTTTAACTGTAGACAGTAGCATACATGGTACTGAAAATTGAAAGAACAATAATACAAAATATAAGTTCTTAAAAACAATCAAGCAGGAGTTTTTCAAAGAAAATATAAAAGGTCAATAAACCAAAATACAATCGGGACGGTCTTTTTCTTTAAGAAAAAAAATAAATCGCAATACACAAAAACATAAAAGACACCATAAGTACATGTATTTCGTAATAGTATTAACCCAAAGAAGAAATCTTGACTGTACACTATAATTTTTAACTCAATCACACACACACACGCACACACACACAAACACAAATGTACACGTGCATACATCTTACACTTTGAATATAACAGCCAAGAGAGCGCATTTAAAAATAAAGTGTGCTTTTATTTAATATTGGGGCTTGGGATGGCAGAGTGCGAGATTCAAAAGTGTTGCAAGAGAACAAAGAAAAGAGAGAGTGTCCAAAGGCCTCAAAGAGGCCATTGAACTGAGAATTTAATTTAACATCCAGGTACCCATGTCATAAGGAAGGATACATGATACAAAACAACCCTTCAGGACAGGACGATAGTTTATCATAAGTTGAGAACATAATTTACAGCAATGCTGCCATTTAGGTGCATATAACTATCACTGTGGCTATCCGATTACTATTTTTAGCAGGTCAAAGAACCCCGATTGGATTTGCATAAAATCTGATTCTTTTCTTGAAATTCGTTTTCATTAAGTTGTATATATTATTATGACTTATCATTAAATGATGAGCAAATATCTATTTTCATTCGCAATATTAGAGTGATTTACTGTAAATGACACGAAAATACATTTTTATTTTCATGTATGTTAATCTTAATCAAATGGGGTTCTGGAAACTCATTTAAAAAAACGAAAACTCCTATATTTTGGGAGGATTCAGAAGAAAGACTTATTTTTGGTCAGGAGTCATTGGCAGGTACGTATGCATTCACAAAACTAGGGGCCCCAAACACATACATAGCCTACAGCCGGTCAATTGAGGCCTGCAGGACAATATTCTGCGGCCCCTACTTAATATCATAGTTTTAATGTAGCTAAAACATTTTTCTCATGCACACCTTTTTGCAAAAGTGTTGTCCTGGATTTTAAAAATTCTCTTACACTTACACTGCTTAAGACCTACCATAGCTCAGGTTCATGAGAGTTTTGTGGTTAAAAAACATTCATGTTCTTAGATCAATTGTACTTTTATTTTAATTAATACTTGAAACCTTTTTTAGTTCATGAATTAGTTGATGCGGCCCAGGCTCACTCAGGCTTTACCTTTAGCAATCTCCAACCCCACATGGGTCATTTGAGTTTGAGACCTCAGACATAGACCCTATCTCTGTCAAGTGCTTTCTTTCCTTTGGAAGACTGGTGAGAGTAAGAGAATAGTAACAGTTTAACTTAAGATACAGTGTCCAAGCGGGCAAAAACAAAAATCAAATCAATAATCTTACAATTGCAAGTCAAACACTTAAAAACAAGAGGAAGGCCCTTTTAGAGTAAATGCTGCTCCTGATGTGGTCCGTCTAAACGCATGCCAGACCTGTTTATGAAATGAAAGCTTTCACTTCAACTTCAACAGACTTTACAATAAGAGAGTGCATATATGTGAGGTAATTCATCAAAGTCAAAAGTGATACTGTGAACTGTGATGTTATTTGAGCGATTTGTCAGTGCAATTCATTAAGAGCTGCAAGATTGTAAACACTTTGATGCTGACCAGCACAGTTTGTGCCTTTGTGCCAATATGGTGGGACAACCTGCTTTCCAAATTAAGGCAGGAGATGCAGGAGTGTCAAACATCCAAAACTCCATCAGCTTGAGTAGGCTCACTCTCCCCAGCTCCAGCAGGTGTGGATCCCACCTTCATTCTTCCACAAAGAGCTAGGCAGGAGACTAGTGTGTCAGCTGATGTTACTCTTGGCCAAAATAACAAACCATTGAGACTGTCTGCACATATATAAATATATATCTATATATATCTCTCTCTCTATATATATATGTATTTAATATATGTATGATTATATACAGTCAAACCTAGCTGTACCATCCCCCATTGTACTGCCAGCCTCGCTTACCACCAGGTTTTGCCAGAGTACGAAAATGAATACCTATATAAATATAGTATTTTTACGCCTTTACACAGCCATTCGCCAACTGTCTGAATTGTAAAGGATTTTTATTAAACTAATGTAAATTTACCACAACATACCGCCAGCGAACTGGCTGCCAGAGGTGCACATTACGTACAGAGCACAGCCTTTCTCACGCACGTCTCAGCGAGTTCAGCCTGTTTCAATCGTTTTCCGCCGATGCTCATGAGTTGCGCTGAATGAGAATGCTATTATTTTTAGGCGTTGGCCAATTTTTGAGAATAATCGGAAAGTTATTTTAGTCACCTGGAGAAATTTCATGGGAACTGCACCATCTCGGCCCATCTGTAAATTGTCTGGCGTCACCAGATAGCCCTATAGCCAAAAGGCAGGCATGCACCCGTGAGGACTCACGATTACGTCTATGTCAAAGGTCTGGAGCCGCCCGAGGACTGACAAGTATCAGGTTAAAAGTAAAATGTTCATCCACCAGTTCCTTGACACATAATAAAGTCTAGCTTCTGACCCAGCAGAAAATTTCTGTTTGTGTTAGAATTTATGTAAAGTTTAGCTGAAGCAGTTGGAGTAATTGGTTGCCATTAATTTTTTCCCCTGCTCGGGGCAATCGTGCAACACAAATCTATAAGAGGCAAGACTGGGTACAGTTTTCTTTTCTCTCTTTATCTCCTAGTCAAGACGGCACTTGACGCCATCCCCTTATACTGCTAGCCCTGATGTAGCACCAATTTCAAGCTCATATGCTCATGCCAAGGTAGGCGGTATAATGAGGTTTGACTGTAATATATATATATATATATATATATATATATATATTATATTTATATTATATAAATGAACTGACATTATCTCTTGCACTTTAAGTTATCTCGAAGGAACAGTTATCAAGCACGTAAGGAACATTAACTGTAAGCAGTATTCAGAAAAATTATAGTCGAAATTATCTAAGCATTGGCATTAGGCAGGACTGATCCAAATGAAGAAAAACAAACCATTCCCATCCAAGATCCCAACCGGAGGGGGTCACAGGCTTAGAACAGCCGTAAGGTCCATTAAAATGTAACCATCAGGTCAACTTGAGCAAACAATGGAAGGGACCAGAAACCACGAATACACAACGTCCTGGTTCATTCATAAGATAGGATAACAATAACAACAGGTACATGAATTATGATGGCTTGTCCACAGTCAAAAGCTAACAAATAATATATGGCATTGCATCACATAGCTATCTTGAACAGATTTTTTATTTTGGTAGTCGGTTGATAAAATATAGTGGTTGTGGCCGCATTGGATAGGATATCATTGCAGGAGGTGTCTGTAAATTACACACAAAAACACGCGAAGGGGGAAAATGGAACGGCCTCTTGTGGTGAGCAGGTTCAACTGTACATCAATTTTTTCAAAGCTTTAGACTTGCCCTCATGATAATTATTCACTACAAAAGCCCAGACACAGCTGTATCATACATGCAGCTTTAAGATTGTCTGTCAAGACACAAAAGGCAATGAAAAGGCCATCCATCACAAAAACATTCACTAGAAAGATTTCCGCCAGATTACGAAAAAAGATTGATAGCCAAACAAAGCAGTGGTTGAGGACTTGACTGTTGATGATAGTACATCCCCATATGAGTAGCTTAAAAAACTTTAAAAATATACAAGAAACAGTAATAATATAATATAAATTATTTGTAATGTAATGCAAACTCCTGCTCAGCAGCAAGCTCTATATGCTTTACAACGTATTATCCCAGCACACCTAATAGCATTCTGAAACAGTCTCAACTTCCTGGAACCATAAAGAAAGAATAGAAAGGCAATATTACATTACGTTGATGCAAGTGTTTTACACCACCAGTAACACAATCTAGATTATTAGAGAGGTGGGCTGCTTCGCCCCTGCCTCTCAGGGTCAGCCAGGCTGAGCGGTATACAACATTCCAGTAAATAGACAGAGATACTGGATTTTAAACTTTTCCACTTTCCCATGTGGAAATCCAATGCACGTTCTCTGCAATCAATGACAATGGTGCAGAGCTTAATCGCTAATTTATGACAGAAGCTAGTCCTACACCATGAACACACCCCATAAAGTACAAAATCTCAATTATCCTCAGACAGCAGCAGCCCCAGAATTATAAGGTTTTTTCTCAGTTGCACTCACTTTAGAGATATTTGAGTTCAAAGTTTTCACACACTTTGCTTCTCTCAAAAGAAAAATAAAATTTACATGGTGTTTATCTCAGAAAGAAAAGAAACAGGAATTCTAACTTTGACAGGCATACAAAGTAAAAGTAGCATAGAGGGAGGCTATAGAAATCATATCTCCAAACAATAAAAACTCCAAGTTAGAACCTTGTTAGACTGAAGTTGTGAATAAGAAATCAGCTTTTTGCAACTTCAACTCTTCCACACATTGTCCGTTTCATACCCTGTCTGGGAACAAAGAACTGTACGCTGGAGGAGGTAGCTCGACCGAGGCACTATCCCACCCGTTTTCCTCAACAAATGGTCGACTCTCATCTTCCACAGGAGGTGGTGCCCAGGGGTGTCGGTTGGATCCTGGCCCTCCTGAAGCCATGGTGTGCTGATGATACGTGGTGGAATGTGAAGGGCCCTGGTTTGCAGGATACCTTGGAGCTGATGATGATAGGGTGGACGGCCTTGTGGTCTGGTATGAAGTCCTGCCTTGACTGCTTGAGCCCACGCTTTGCGTTGGGTGAACGAAGATTGGCACCCTCGTCTCTCCTGTCAGGCTGTCTGAGGTTAGAAGAGGAAACCAAAATTGATTGGACTCCAATTAGTATTAAATGTATGAAGCTTTCGACAACAGAAGGTACTGTAACACTTTTCTTTCAGTTAGCAATTCCAAGTGACCCCGGCCTACATTACTAATAACAGAACAGGGAGCAAAGTTAGAATCACCATATCTCCCCTTGAAATACAACAAAAACTACAGGTCTAAACAATTTGTTTCACAGAAAAAAACAACTTCAGTTCGAAATAAGAAAGATGAAATGATTTTTCTGTTTTATCCTATTGTTACTTCAACTTCAACAACTACCAAATCTCCTTTCGTAAACAAGCTCTAAAAGAGTATGCGAGCAGTGAATAAAAAACAAAGTAGGCCTACCTTGGCCTTAACAGTAGAAAAAGTAATGGCACTCAGCAGTGTAATACTTTTATCAATTACAGTCTAGTATGTACACATATTATAGTGAAATCAGCAAGCTATGGAATTTAAAAAAATAAATACAAATTTTGCTATGCATATTTTTAAATATACAAAGAATTAATACATTTTAAGAAAAAATTCAGGACCTAAAAATCTCTTATCTATGTGAATGTTAAACTATTATTATTATTACAGTATTATTATCATCATTATTGTTATCATCTTTATTGTTATTATTATTATTATTATTATCATTATTATTACTATTATTGTTATTATTGTTATCAGAGGAGGAGGAGGAGCAGCAGCAGCAGCAGCAGGAGCAGCAGCAGCAGCAGCAGCAGCAGGAGGAGTAGGAGGAGGAGGAGGAGGAGGAGGAGGAGGAAGGAGAAGGAGGAGGAGGAGGAGGAGGAAGGAGGAGGAGGAGGAGGAGGAGGAGGAGGAGGAGGAGGAGGAGGAGGAGGAGGAGGAGGAGGAGGAGAAGGAGAAGAAGAAGAAGAAGAAGAAGAAGAAGAAGAAGAAGAAGAAGAAGAAGAAGAAGAAGAAGAAGAAGAAGAAGAAGAAGAAGAAGAAGAAGAAGAAGAAGAAGAAGAAGAAGATTTATCAACCACACAACCTGTAGGCCAACATACCTGCAGCAGCTGCTGAGCCCCCAATCGTGATTTCTTCTGATGAGGTGTTCCCGAAAGACCAACGGCATACACACACGCACAACAAAATGAACAAGGCCAGAACACTCACAATAGCAACAAGGGCCTCCATAAAGGTATCATACTCCTCTTGTACTGAGGTCTTCAGTTGCCTGATGAGAAGAAAACCATAATATTAATATAATGTATTACATTATATAAATCTATCATTACCTAGATACAGTAGATTGCTCTAGATTGTCTCCACATGAGTATGTAGGAGGTGCAAAAGTTTGACTAATTTATCACAACGCATGAGTATAAATGCAAGTGTGGGTGTGTCAAGGTGGCGTTCTAAACTCTTTTTAGTATCAGTAAGAGTTTTAGGGCACTTGCAAATACAATAAGGTCATGTAAGGGCTGAAGGTTAGGGGTGCTACAAGAGAGTAACAAACACAAAACAGAAAGAGGAGAGATAAGGACGGTAGATATTTGATAGGAAAGAAGGAGCAAACCACACCTGAGCACCCTCCAACCACCCCCTACTAAATTTTAAATAAATGTGTGTGTGTGTGTGTGTGTGTGTGTGTGTGTGTGTGTGTGTGTGTTTTAGTGTTAGTAAGAAAGGGGAAGTTATCCTCCACTAGAAATGTGCTACCATGAATTGAAACCAATGAACATCAGGGAAATGGCTTTTAAAAGTTTTTTTTTGTCTTGTAAATTGTAAATGCTAGTGTTTTTACGCCTGAATCAACACAATTTATATTATATACTGTACGGGGTAAGTTTCGCTCACTTTCTGTCGGGTTTACATCCAATGCTGTCTTTTCAATTTAATATAGATTTCTTTCAGAAACAACAAGAGCATTGATGATGGGAAACTAGAACTCTTATAAATTTCCAATTTAGTGACGGCCACCTGTATAAATACGACCACCTGTACAAAAGGCCACTTTCCATTTCCCCCCTTGCGTTCTTTCTTTATAATTTAACTCTGTAAAACGGTCACCTGTCCAATGCAGCTGCGGCCAAATTTACCTGTCTCAGGCAGCCAGGCGTAGTCATTCATTGCCCGATGCTCTGTCATAAATTCTGAATCGGCCCCTCATGTTGCAGACGGGCCATCATAATCATTCACCTGTCGTTATTGGTAGTCTCTCAAATGAATGTTTACCCAGGTTGACCAATGGGTAGGCCTAACAATAAATTTTCAACTGCTGATGAGGAAAATGTGATCCGTCATGACCTATTGGCCCCGCCCACAACTCATGCACAAATCGTGTGCGAGGAGACTGGCCACTGTTTGGTTTACCTAATCTGTAAAATTACAATCGACGTTGACGTGAACTTGTGACAGAAGCTTTGCTCGTTCTCTGAGTGGTGGCGACTTACTTACAAAATATATAGTTTATTTTACCCTTGCACAAATTCAGCAACAAAAAGAAAGCAACCCAAAAGACAAATCAACAACACAAAAAACCCTTTTTACAGTAGCCCTACTACCTTTTCAAAAGAAAACAAAAAGCCTTTACAATTATTTCCATTAGCCTTACATAGCAGCCCTAATCGTGAGATCAGCCCCGGTTTAGACCTGGGAAGAGAATGATTTGCTTTCTTCATTTTGATAAGTCCTGCCTAAGATGGCCACCTGAGTTATACGGCCACTTTTCTCAATGACAACGGCTGGCCGTTTTACACAGGTTTGACTGTACAAGGACAGGAGCAGGTAGGAGTGTAGGTTTATTTTATGGAGTGACTAGTCGCCCAATCTCGGGTGGCTAGCTTCAGGCTACTCGACCGAATTCGGTCGATTAGCCTGACGCTACTGGCCCGTGGTGATTTCTGCGCGAGTTCCGGGTGAACGAATTCGGTCAATTAGACTAGCCTGCGGCTTCTGGCCTGTGGGGATTTCTGCGCATGTTCCCTGTTTTGGCCCGTGTGCATTTCTCTCTCTGTCTCCCTCTCTGTCACTGTCTCTCTCTCTCTCTCTGCATCTGTCTCTATTTTTCTCTCTGTCTCTCTCTCTCATTCTCTCTCTCTCATTCTCTCTTTCCCCCTCTCTGTCACTCTCTCTCTCTCTCTGCCTCTCTCTCTCTGCCTCTCTCTCTCTCTGTTACTGTCTCTCTTTCTCTCTCTCTGTCACTGTCTCTCTCTCTGTCATTGTCTCTCTCTCTGTCTCTGTCTCTGCCTCTCTCTGTCACTGTCTCTCTTTCTGTCACTGTCTCTCGTTCTCTCTCTCTGTCTCTCTCTCTGTCCGTCACTCTCTC